TTAGTAAGACCGAAGTTGGTCTTGGCACCCTAAATCTGCTGTCTTCTTCTTTGTTGGAGAATGTTCCTGAGCTTCCAGACACGGCAGAGCACTCTCGAACTGACCTCTCCCGTGATCTGGCAGCTTTGCATGAGATCTGTGTGGCACACTCGGATGAGCTTCGGACGCTCAGCAACGAGCGAGGAGTGATGCAGGTGAGTTAAAAGAAATCACAGGTACAGGGTGCTGTGTCCTGAATTACTCCTCAATACTGGGTTTCTTTTGTGGTATTTCTGTAGCAGTATGACTGATACTGTATTTCACCAGGGGGTTATTAGCTGTGAAGGAAATACTTAATCCATAGTTTTGTTCCCCCATGCAACAAAACCAACTAGATTTGGGTGCTTTTTTAAGTTTCTAGAGGAAGCCTTAAACCCAGTAAATTATTGTCTCCTGACAGACTCTCTAAGTCTTAGTTTTCAGATCTGGATTTTTATTCGGTTGAGAACCAAATTCACTTTCTTTAGCTTTTTATTAATATCTCGTTTCTGCTTACTGGTTTGCCAGTACACTTGTATGCTTGGAAAACTGCCAGCAAATTTTAACAGTGTGTTAGGTGTACACTTCCTCTGCCTTCCTGTTAACCACAAAGAAGCAAGAAGATCCATGGGAAGACAGGTAAAGACCATAACATCGTTTTAAGATTACCCTTATTGGCTAGGAAATCAGACATTTTCTCTTTTTAGTAATATATTCAAACTTCAAGTTGCAGGTCTGATAGGCTGATGCTGAAAATGCTGCTCAGGAAAGCCTTTTCTGTCTCCAGTAGCTAATATGTATTTTTACTGATTCACTCTCTTTTACAGCATGTTCTTAAGAAGCTTTTGGCCATTACTGAACTGCTACAACAAAAACAAAATCAGTATTCGGTATCTAACAACATCAGGTAGCAGCTCTCTACCTGAATTCTGCATGGATCCAGCATGCCCAACATGGCAACTCTCACCAGTATCACTTCTTTCTTGCTCTTGCCAAAAATAGCACACCCTGTCACATTCCCAGTGATGTGTGAACTATGCAAAAAGAAAACAAAGATCCTGTTGGTGAATGATTGCACCAGCAGCTTTTGTTAAGCTATCTGTGCAGGACATTTGCACTTTTTTTTTTTTCCACTTGGAAACAATGAAATTTCACAACCTCTGAGCCTTGGTGTACAGTTCACCTTCCGAAGAGAAAATGCTGTGACTGTGTCTAGGACTTGGAAATTTTCAGCACCTCTGATTGCCAAAGTTTTTGCTGTCTGATTGCAAAAGAATTGTCAACTGTCATGAGATGAAAGGTGGTGTTCTGACAACCACCTGTAACTAACTGGATAACATTTCTTACTGTAATTTCTGACTGGTTACAATAATTGTGACTTTTGACTGTTTCAACCACTTTTATATTTACAGTTTCCAGAATTTGATGTTATGGTAGGAACAACCTTTACTGTACGCGTTTTATACCATGCTGTTTCTCTTGCTGGAATGACATTGAAAGAGAATATGGAGAATGGGTCATGTCAGCTTTATTTTTTTGATGTGCCACTGATTCAGTCTGAATAGTTCTTCCATCAAGAACTGTATATCCAGATAAATCACAATGCTTTTGTAAAACGTTTACAACAGTAAATAATTTAAAATTAGTAAATTTATTGGTCATTATATCAGACATGCATGCATTCATTAAACCATTTTATAAAATAGGTATTGTTTGGTCTTTTTTGTACTGTAAGTATAGCATAAATATTTTTATAAGTGAAAAGTTTTTAAAATAAATCAAGCTGCATATTTATAACTCTGTGGAAACTGGCTGAGTGGCTGCTCTGGAAATTTTTTAGTGTCTGCACTGGTGGCATACTTTGCAGTGTTTACAATGTGTCTTCTTGAGCGTGAGTCCTCAGACAGCATTACCTTGTCCCTATGCCTTAATTTGTATATCTGTGTGAGAAAGTAGATGTTAAAGCTCCTTGCATAGGTTGAGATTTAATAAAAAGAAATTCTTCCCTGTGAGTGGGGTGAGGCACTGGCAGAGAACCAGAGAAGCCAGAGATGCCCCAGTCCCAGGAAGTTTTGAAGGTGACAATGGATGAGGCTTGGTCCAACCCTTGTCTAGTAGAAAGTGTTCCTGCCCACTTGCACTGCCATAAACTGTTAAAAAAATTGAGAAGTAAAATGTGCTATTGATTTGAAGGGTATTTCATCATCACTGTGTGTTACATTCTAGGCAGTGATATAATAGGGAATAAAAGGATACACTGACAAGATTAATGAGATAACCACTTAAATAATTTTATCATACAAACACTGTTGTAAACCTTTACAACACCTAGAGTGTTTTTCCTGTCTATCAGAACTGCCAAATCACTGTCACATAAAATCAGAGACTTTGCTTTTGCACCTTTGCTGTAATATTAAGTGGCTCTTGCTGTGTTGCCCTGGTCTCCAGCTGGAACAGCTTTTTGAAGGTGAAAGCTCCCAAACATCACATGTATGGCACTGGGCAGACACATGTGATGCTCCTCCATAGTGACAATATATGTGTTTGTAACACCTTGTTACAAGAGAAGTCTTTTCTTAGATTGTCCCATAACCATGTCAAGTCTATGTTAAACTGCATCTCAGAGGATTAAGTAATTAACCTTTCAGTGTCTCCTACTTAGATCTTTAACAGAGTGTGTAAAAGGAATTATTTTGTGGGTTTGGTTGCTTTGGTACAGGCAATACATGGTAAAAATACAAAGTGGAAGACAGAGCTGGCTACCGATTTTAGCTGTTGCACACAAAATTCAGCAAAGATAATGAAACTAGGCAACACCCAAAGGTGCATGTAAGAGTGTGTGTACTTGTAAACTCTAACTGCGTGTATGAAAAGGGAATAAATCAGCTGGTGCTCATAACACTACACTGCAGCCACATCAAACTGTTTCTGAACCAAAAACAAGGGCCAGATTTCTTGAAACAAATCCTTCTAATGGATGAGGGTTTAATGAAACCACAACTTACTCTTTTAGGAAAGTAGAAAGCTTTACTGCCAAGGTAAAAAAATAAAAGCACAAAGACCTTAAGACACAGAATAAGGAACCTGTGGCAGACAGTCACACCTGACATCAGAGAGTACTTCCTGCAGTGGTAGGAGTCCATCTTCCTTCAAAGTAATGCTGAATCCATAAGATCATCATCAGTCCACTCTTCCTAACAGAAGGAAAAAAACACAGCGACATCTGTGTGTGGTGATTTGCTCCTTATGGTATGGATTTAGGAACTTACAGAGAAATTCCATGAATAGAAGACTAAAAAAGTATTTTAACTTGGGGCAAGTCAGGGCTTTAACCATAAAGCTGTTATCCATACCTATGCTTACAGTCATGGACCCAGAGTCATGTTTGCAGCCCCTTTCAGCACCTGAGATGAAGCATGAGCTTTATGTTGAATAACTATGTAGAGATTTCCAAAATAGCTCATACTGCACATTCTACTATATGTCTTATGCTTTTCATGGCTTTATAGACTACAGTCTAGTATCAGCTAACCACAGGATTAATAAAGCCATTAATAGGGTATGAACAGTCTGCACACTCTTTTAAGCTTTCAAAACTTAAGTACACTTTCTCCTTAATGTCCTGGCCAGCTGAGATCTGCTCTATCATGTGGTTATTACTCAGAAGTGAAATTACACAAGTAGAAACCCAACTCAGATACATTAGCAATGAAAAATCATGAGTTTCATGACCTTTGGAACTGCACAAAAGTTGATCATGAAGTGCTGTAGGCTATGTGAATATCCTATCAGGTTACTCCTTTGGAAAATAATTACAGATATTAATTAAAAAGAAGCTCCAAAATCAAAGCTGCCTCAGACCATTGCAGAATAACTAATACAAATTAAACTGGGACAGGGAACAAGTGAAACCTCCAAAGCTCATGTGGACCTGTTAGTTCTAAGTCATTCTGTCATAAAGTGAAAAGTTTTCCAAGTGCCTGTTTTATGGAGTTGCCAGTTTTAGTATACTTTTGAAGACGCATTTGGAATGAAAACTTTTTGGAGCAATAAAATTATAAAAAGTTCAGGGTCCCACATTTTGTTAACTATACTTTCAATACCAATTTTATTATAATCTTGTTGAAATAATGTTTTAGAATCTAATATAGCATCAACCTACTATGATTATGTCTAACAGCAAGACACAAATCTTGTCTTTTATCTTCAGATTTTGATAGGTGACCCTCTTTAGATGGTAGCATATTGTTCTAAATGCTACACTTAGTGTGTCTTAGACTATTTAGTATCAAAATGAGTCCAGTTAAAACGTTCTACACCTCTGCCAGCATGGACTCTCTCCAATTTCCTTTCTATTGTCCAGACAAAAGCTCTGGATGGTGTTCATCTCAGATGTGAAGGACAGCCTTAAACCGATGAGGGTGACTCAACAAATGCAGTGTTATCTCCACCTTATTTATACTTGGTCTTAAAACGCAAAGTATTAGCAACCCATCTGTAATTCACGCAGCCTTGTTAACAAATTGTCTGACATAAATTTAGTCCAACACTCTACACTACTTTGAGCAAGAAACCAAATAAAGTAAATAAAAACTTTCAAAGCACAAGAAACAACAGGAGCATGGTCTGCATGTTCATTCCCCTTTCCACAAATACAGGAGTGTTCAAGAACACTCTTGACTGCATTTCCAAGTGCAGTCAGGTATGAAATCTGGCTCATTTAAAGTGAAAAAAAAAGTTGAAAAAGGTTCAGTCAGTTTTACTTGTGAGCAACAAGCAAACTTATATTACAGATGCATAAATTTATCTTGGTAGCTGTGTCATTTTTGTCTTGGCATTAAGAGTGAAAAAAACCAGGAAAAACTTGTACAATAGGTTTACTAACCTCATCCATTTTACATTTCTTTGTGACATATTCATCATTTTCATAGCCTTTCCTCTTCTTCCTAATGCGAAGAAAAATGAAAAGCTTAGGTATTTTTATAACTTAAGACTCTCTTTATTTGACCCCAGGATTACATTATGGACATACCTATTCCATAAAAAAACTACCAAAGCCTCAGCATGCAGCTTGCTGGAAGTTCAGGGTGCAGTCCTATGCCATCCACACAATTCTTAAGAAAACATTAAGCCCTTACAAAATTCTTGTTTTAATCACCTGATTTTCAAGTTCTCATCACATACAACATCAAGTGGTCACACCTTAGAATCCACCCAGTATTCCAGTTTCACAAACTAATCAGCTTGCTTGCAGATCAGCATAAAAGAACCTGTTTATATATTAGTGAGAGCACTTCTTTGAGTCTTTGATCTCAGTTTCCTGTAGATATAGCAAGCAGGCAAAAACTGTGTGAACATTTAAGGCTTTTCATTTTCCATCACTCATACAGGTAAGAAAATATTAATGTTCCTATGCCAATAAAAAAGGCCAAAGTTTACCACATGCAAGATATACTTACAGGTTTGTATTAAATGAGAGGTCCAAGCTGTGACACTTCTCTAACTTCTGTTTTAGAGCAGCAACCTCTTCAGGCCTTGGCAGTTCATATTTTTTTATGAGATTTTTCATGCCTAAAATGGCAACAACACAGCTGTAAGCACACAGATAATTTCTGCTCTGCCCTTGTGTTGGGTCTGCATGGCAAGATGTTGGTAGTGGGGGGTACTGGGGGGCCTATAGGGGTGGCTTCTGTGAGACGCTGCTAGGGGCTACCCCCATGCACAACAGAGGTAATGCCAGAGGGCTTCAAGGTGTATCTTCACTGCCCAAGGCCAAATGTATTAAGTGACAGTCAATGTACATCTGTGATAACAGATTCAAAGGACAAAATCCCAATGCCGGTGCAACACTAATGGCTGCTGAAAAGAAGGATGAGAATATATAAGGACATCTACACCCTTCATCTACCAGGGTCAGGGATAAACATTAGGAAGGAAGTGCTCCAGGCACTTGAACAGATTCCCCTGCAGCTCCTGGTGCAGACCATGGGGAAGCAGCTGTATGGAAGTCAACAGGAGTATGGAGTATGCAGATGCACCTGCAGCCTGTAGAGGAGGCGACTTTGGAGCAGATAGCTGTGCCCAAAGGAGGGTGTGACCTCTTGGGAATACCATGCTATGTACCATATCATGTACAGAAGAAAAACCTACGCTACAGAAGGTTTGCTGGCAAGATTTGTGACTCCATCAGAGACCGGCACTGAAGCAGCCTATTCCTGAAGGGCTACATCCCATGTAATGGACCCACATTAGAGCAGTTACTGAAGAACTGTAGCATGAGGACACATGTTGTAAAAATTTGTAGAAGATTGTCTCTATGGGAGAGACTTTACACTGCAGTGAGGGAAGAATGTGAGGGGGAAGGAGCAACAGAAACATATGGTAAGCTGACTACAGTCCCCCTGCACTGGAGGGAGAGAATCCAGGAGTGAAACAATCCAGGAAGAAGGGAGGGATGGGGGAAAGGACTTTTTAAGATTTGGTTTTCACTTCTCATTACCCTACTCTGATTTGCTTGGTGATTAATTAATTGCCCCCAGTTGTGTCTGTTTTGCCATGACAGTGACTGGTGAGTGACCTCTCCCTGCTCTCACCTTAGCCCGTGAACTTGTGATTTTCTTTTCTCTCCCTTGCCCAGCTAGGAAGGTGTTGTGGTTTGACACAGAAAAAAGATTTTTCAGAAGGAAGAGAGTTAAACTAATAAGTGGTTAAGGTTAGACATTGACACTTAGGCTGATTAATTAAAGGCTACATACACTTCTGAGAACACAGAAGGGTTAAAAGTAGGACTTTCAGGAGAACTAGTTCTTTTTAGTTTTAGTTATTAGAGAGTATAGATTCTCCCCTGCCCAGCCCGTGGCTGGGTGGGGGAGGGGAAGTTAAAGTAGGCTGAAGAGTTAGTAGACAAAACTAGCTCCAGCTCCCTGCAGATGCAAGGGTGGAGAAAAATTGGGATGTTTGTGTTTTCTCTTTAGAGTCTCCCTGGAGAGAGAGAGAAAAAGATAGTGACAGTGCTGGTAGTACTCTCATAGAGGAGGAAAGGGGGGGTAAGGTCTTTAGTGTGGGAGTTGGAGGTTTAAGTAGAGTCTGGCATCTAGAGAATTTGAGACTTTTAGTCTCTTGAAAAATGAAAGCTTTATGAAATATAACTCATCCTCAGTTTGAAAGAGGAAAAAAAAAAAGACAGCCTAAAACCTGAAGTGTTAAGAAAAGAAAGGAGAAAAAATTATAAAGTAGCTTTCAGCTGAACTATTTCTTGTTAACCACAGACTGAACCAATTTCTCCTCTAAAAGAAAAACTATTTTAAGAAGATACACAGTGAGCCATGAGACCTGCCTTAACAAATAAGAAAAAGACAAGAGCAGAGTGAACAGAAAAAAGTTAAAGAGAGTTGTGGTAATACCCCCGTCTTCAAAAAATAAGAAAAAGAAGATCTCTGTTCTTAGACTCTCAGCCCCAGGGGGAAATGGGGGGGACTGAGGTCCCAAAAATGAAAAACTGAACAGTTGTTTTCTTTTTTTTTTTCTCTTAGCAAAGCATCCTTGAAAAAAAATCCTAAAAGCAGTCTGTCCATGCACTGTAGTGAGAACACTGTGCATGGAAAGGAGAGTGTCACCATAACAAATTTTCTCCGGGTGGTGCCACATGAAGTAACAGCTGTGTATCTTAGAGAGTCTGTGACACAAGAAAGACTCCTCTCTCCCTCTAAACTGAATACTGATTATCTGAAAAGTAAAGACCTGATTAGAAGTCCAAGTTGCGTCTCACTTTAGTTTGTTAGAATTGTGGGGGGGAGGAGGAAGAATGTTTTAGAAAATTTTCATTTTAAATTTAGTATGTGTTTTTTTCTTTCTTCTTTTTTTTTCCTTTTACAGTAGTAGTAATTTAATAAAGTTTCTCCTTTGTTATTAAGCTTGAGCCTACTCTACTCTGTTCCTAATCGTATCTCACAGCAATCATCTGGGGGCTTGCATTTTCATAAAAGCACTAACATACCAGTGTCAAACCATGACAGGAGATCAGTGACAGGGTGACTTTGGTGGTCACTTGGCAACTTTGGTGGCCACTTTGTTTACTTAAGCTGGGGTCAACCACCACACTTGAGACTCATATAAGCTTATCCAGTCTCCCGTGTGGCTGAGTATTGTTTATGTCATAGTCAGGCTTGAACCAACAGTTCATCCTTCCTTTCCTCATTGTAACTACACTGAAACAAGTCTCCAGGATCACTGACTCTGGATTTCCTTAAGGCAGAGTTCCCATTACTCTGCTAACAAGCTTCAAAATACACAGGTATTTTTTGCAATCAACCTTGTACTTGCTGTCCTAAAAAAATACCAGTTCCAGTCTTTCTAATAGTGCAAATTAAATTTATGAGGTTTTTTTCTCTACCACCAGTACTCTGTAGAAGTAATTTACAAATTGTTTGAAAAATTTCCTTCCAACCATCTTGTGTTTATGGAAGAGCTGCCTTTGGGCTAAAGCTAGCATCCACAACAACTGAAGTGAAGAGTAAGTGATCCCATCATTCCCTTCTACCTCAGCAATTCAAGTCTGAAGACCTGATTTGTTAGGAGACCAGAAAGTAAAGGACATCTTAAATATTATAAATTAAAGGTAAATTGAATTTGTAGACCCTGGATACTTGTATGGTGCATTCACTGCTCATGTCAGCCAGCCTAGTTTTACTGCCACCACTCCCATTTGAAGTGCATGCATTAACTTAATGCATTCGGTAACTGATTACTTACTGGGAATTTCATATCACAACCTTTTCATTTAAATACAAGCAGGTAATAATCAGTGTACTATACTCCCTTTTAGCTTAGCTAAACCATGGTAGTATACTTAATATTTGAAAAATATATACACACACAGATATTTCTCACACTAGTGAAGCTAAGCATCTTCTGAAACATAGTTGCAAAACAAATGTGCAGTGTAAATACTGGCGTATCACATTAGTCATTTAGCTTACAAAACGTACCTTCTGGTGGTAGTAGTTATTACATGCAGGCTTTGCCTGAAGCTGTAATGTTTAAGATACGGTGACTTAATAAGCAATTTAGTTCTGTCCTACAGATACCGTTATCTAATAGTTTTCTCACTTTTGAATCAGCTGCTAGCACCTGACTCTAGCACTTCTGCTCTGAAAGCATCACGCAGCTCCTCTGCCTGATTATTTATTTTTGTTCATGTTAATTTGTTTAATTTATTTGTTCATTTTGTTTCAGTCTTTTTTCCTCTTCCATCTACATGCTGGGTAGTTCATTCTACTGTCTGTGGCTTACTTATGCCTGCCTTAAGGTGAAGAGAACCATTTGAAGCAAAACTTTCTATCTAAAGCTTTTGTAATTTGGAAAAAGATGGTTCTTCCTTGTTTTGATATATTCTTTAATATACTTTTCCAGTGTTTACTTACATTTCATGTCATCCAGTAATCGGGATAAGGCTGATCTGTCTTCTTTCAGCTTAAGACTTTCTGATAAATAGCTAAAAAGAGACGTTGAAAAATAAATTTTTAAAGTGTCATAATAACTTATGACAATCATCTGTGATTAGTAAAAGTGTATTATTTATAATTAACATCTCCTAGAGCTTTATAATTAGATAAGTAAGAACACTTTGTTTACTTAAGTGCTATAAAGTGATAAAAAAGCTAACCTGTCACTGTAAGAAGGTGACAAAAATATTCCTCCAGTCATGTAGAAATAACACTGTCAAATTAGGTATTTCTAATCCTCATGGAGCTAAGTCAAATTACATTTATGACTTTATGACAACATCATACTATTGTACAATACGTCTACAAGACAAGCAAGCACTACAGTGGTTTTCAGACTAACCAACAGCAGAGCTTGCAAGACAGGCCTGCTTCTTTTGGCAGCTGAAAGCTATTACTAAACACTGTCTTGCATGAGCCTACGGGTTCCTTCCTCTTCCCAACGAGATGAAACTTCTCTTTACTAAGAACACTAATGCACACTGCCTGGATAAAACAGACATGAACAATCCTCCTCACTCACACCCACAACAACCAAGGAGTTCCATCCCTTCCCCCATGAGAGCAACGGGTTTTCCAATTCTCACATGTTCTGTACCACCTCTGCAACTGCACCTGATCACAGGTCCACAGACCATCAACTGCATCATCAGCTTCTCTCATGTCTGCAGCAAAAACTCACATCAAACAGTAAATGGCAAGGTACATACAATTGCATGGTGCAGACAGGTAGCAAAGACTTGAATTCTTCCTAAACATGACAACAAAGTTCAGACACCTTGAATCCCACATTACCTACAAATTATTTTCATTCTTTTTGCAAGCATAGTTTTCTGAGTTTTGGCACAAGCAGTACAGAACACAGATCTAAGAATGAGATCAAATTTCAAGCAGAAGTAAGCACCTGAATGTTTTTATACAATTCTTAGAAGACAGTGAATCCTGTAAAGAATACTCCCAACACTCCTTATCTTAGAACTAGAAAGATTTGACATACATTTAAAACAGATGGAAGATTAGAATAACTTTTTGGATTTAGAGCAGGTTTTAGACTCCAGATGCAAAATGCTCATAGGCGTGATACTAAAACATGCCAGGTACAGCTTCTTGCAGCAATCACCTCAGCTGTACATCTGAACAAAAGCATACATTTGTCCAAAAGAGAATTAAACCAACTATACATTTCAGCAAAGATATCAAAGTACCTCTGCAAACACCAGTGGTAAGGACATGCAAGATGTACTTATGGGTTTCACAGAACAGAAAGAAAAGAGTGATTTAAAGCAACACCTTAGCTCTTGTGCATACCCATGGCAACTGAACAGTTGCAGCAATCAAACACAGCATGTTACAGCATGCCCATTAGCTGTCAGTTCAGTGTAATTTCAGTTGACTCTCAATTTCTACCATATTTCCACTTTCCTCCCTGTGCAACCCTCAAACTGAGTCTGAAAACCCTATGCTGTTCTAATTAACAGAAAGTCATCAGGGTTTTAACTTCTTTTAAAGGAATATAAAAACCAGACAGCAACTAACTGCTATTTATGAAAATGAACAGTACCACTGCCATTCTAAACCATAAAGAACAGACAAGTGCTAGCAATCAGTAAATACACAATTCTAGTAATTAAGAATGTCTAGAGCAAAACAATTTTATACAAGAAGCAAACAGATTGTTTAAATCACACATATAAGAAAAAAATACTACCTTTCCATATTAATTCCTGCTCTTGAGCCACTAGATAATATGGCAGTGAGAGCAATCTGTGAGGGAGTAAAGAGCAGATACGCATCTGTCAGAGCCACTCGATTAAGGAAGTCATCAGCTGTTTTCCTTAAAACTTCAGGATTTTCCAGCACTGGATAGCGAGTCTAAAAAGTAATGATTTAGGAAAAAAGGCAGCTGTTTGTCATTCTCCATGAGCTCAGAATACACAATTCAACAGTATTTTATATAGCTAAAAAGTAGCAAAAGGTTTTTATTCCAAAAATATCCCAAATAATTTAAAGACCACAAGTAAGACAACTATCTTTCAGGTATTTGTCTATCACTATGGAAATTAGATTTTTAAAATCATAGGCACAAAAGGAAATTAAGTTTAAGTCAATGCATGACAGACTTGTATCACTTTACTATACAGAGCATATAGCATATCAGAGAGTATTACCTTAATATCAATTAAAAATCCCTCAAATGGTCTGTATGGGTTGTGGATGATCAGATGGAAGTTCAGTTGCTGAATAAGTAGTAGTTCATATTCCAGTATTTGTTCAAGAGCTTTTTCCTGTCCAAGAGGACTTTCTCGAAGGTTACCAACAAACTGTGCACTGGATACATTAAATTCATCTACTTTGCAGGCCAAAAATGTGCATGTTAGCCTTGAGGAGGGAAAAAAAAACCAAAAAAGCAAACAATTGACATATGCAGCATCCATTCTCCTACTGAAAGTTCTAACCAAACAATGTGTATTTTTAAATATGTTCTGAATACAGCAAAAAGATAGTGAAACTGACCATATTTTGTCTTTACTCCTACTTAAGCTCTCAGATTTTCTTTCCTAGTTTTTTTTTACGTCTTTACAAATATAAAGATCATACCTCTAATATTCCATTTGATAGAGTAACTCAAGAAGTATTGATAACTCACATTATTATCCGAGGATGATGCTCCATCACTGAGTTATTGAGGTAAAAACGTTTAAAATACATGCAAGCTGTACCCTAAATTGAAAAAAATAGGGAGGTAAAAAATAAAAATGGATTAAGAAAAGAATATATAAATATATAAAAAGAAACTCCCCTCCCAAAACGGGCAATTTTGGATATATGCTACAGGCGCACAGGATATACTGAGGCACTAAGACACATACAGCCAGAAATTAAGTATTTCACACACACAGGAATTAAGTACTTCAAAGTCTTTATTTTGCCTGCAAGAACCTTATACTACAACTGTAATACAAAATAATTTTCCTTGTTTTTAGACATGTTTTAGAAGACAATGCCTTAAAAGCCAAGAGTCCCTTTATGAAAATAACCTGCTATAAAAATGAAATTTAAAAATGAAAGGCTGAAAAAAATCATCCTCAAAGTTGCAAGCAATTGAAACAATTTGGTTTTTTACATCAGTAAATTTTGCAGCATGTTTATCAGCATGAAAGCCGATGCTTTTCGAAATTAGACTCTGCAGGAGCTAGCTCTCAAACATCAGTCTGGCTTCACATGCCATGGCAGTGACTGCCACCTTTCAAAGACACCCTCAAGCACAGTACTCTTCAACACACATACTTGAAAAAGGGAGGACTAATGTAGGACAATGTAAATCATACATCTTAATGTCTTAATGAGTGAGGCACAATTTCACTCCGTTCAGCTCTATGTCCCCACTTCTCCCTTCTGAAATACGGTCTTCTGCATTCAAGACATATAAGTTCAAGGTAATTTTGTTTTTCCTTTGTAGGGTAATGTTTTCCCAGTACACGATCCAGCTTATTTTGTGGTCAGAGAAGCACTAATGCTAGAGAAACGTCTCCCTTCAGCGATTGGGAGATTGTTTCATTGTATCATCACACATTACCACCAATCATCTACAACTATTTTGTTTCTACTCTTTGCTAAGGGGAAGCAAAACAATTCAGTCACCCAAGCAAGTTTAAGAGCCACAAGCAAAAGATCACGTTGAAAAACATCAGGTTTTGAAATGGCTCTACGTGTAAGAAAACGAAATAAAAAAGACAAAAAGCGGCCACAGACTGTAGTGCTAGAAAGAGAGAAAAGAGAAAGAGATTTAAAGATATCCGCGCTCTCAAGAACAAGCCAAGCAGGCAGCAAGCGAAGGAATAAGGAAGGCCAAGGCTACGGCTCCTCCTCGCCTCGCTTACCACAACGGACCGCGGCATCGAGGGCTTGAATGCGGCGCAGAAGTCCAGCAGCCTCTTCTCGTAGTACTTGCATAGCGCCAGCTCCTCGTGCGGCTCCAGCAGCACTGGGTCGCCCTGCGGAACCTTGGGAGAAGCAAAGCCGCGCCTGAGTTCGCCGCCCCGCTCCGCCCCGCGCCCGCAACCTCTGAGCCCCTGCGCACCTTCCCGCTGGCCACCGCCCTGGCTCGGGCCCGGCGGTTCCCCTCAGCGCGGCGCCGCGCCAGTTCCTCCTCGCTGTGGAAGGTCCAGTGCCGGCACTGCGTGCTGCTGTGGAACATGGCCCCACAACATGGCCGAACCCGCGCGCGGCACGCCGGGAGTTGTCGTAGCCTGTGGGGCGCGGCGGGGAGGGCCTAGAACACTCCCTCGTGGAAGAGGGATGTTTCCGTTTCCTTTTACAAACTCTTCCCTTTTAAAGAAGGGCCGTGGTAAAACAGTATGTTGTAAACTTTTGCAGAATAGCAGCATGCTTGTGTTTCTTTTTCGGTTTCATTCACGTATACTTGCAAATTTACACTGCACTCGTGCAGCCTCACGTCGAGTGCTGGGGACAGTTTTGGGCACCGCAATGTAAAACCGACGTTAAGCTACTATAGAGTATCAAGGATGATGAAAGGTCTAGAGAGGAAGCTATATGAGGAGTAGCTGAGGTCACTTGAAATGTTCAGCCTGGAGAAGAGGAGACTGAGGAGAGACCTCATTGCAGCTTACAACTTCCTTGTGAGGGAAGAGGAGGGGCAGACACTGATCTTTTCTTTGTGGTGACAGTGATAGGACTCGAGTAAATAGCATGACGTTAAGCGTTAAGTCAGTGGAGGTTTAGGTTGGATATCAGGAAAAATTTTTGACCAGCAGGGGAATTGGGCACTGGAACAGACTCCCAAGGGAAGTGGTCTCATCACCAAGTCTGATGGATTCAGTAAGTGTTTGGACAATGCTCTCAGGCCTGTGGTGTGATTCTTGGGGTGTCCAGTGCAGGCCCAGGAACTGGACTTTATGATTGTAGTGGGTCTCTGCCAAGTCAGAATATTCTGTGATTCTGCTCCCTAAAGTTCCTTCAGTAGTCTCCTGCTTTCCCCCGATAACCACTATATATAAAATCCAGTTATAGTATTAAGGAAGCAGCATTTCATAGCCTTCATGTTTCAGCTAGAAATTTTAGATATTACTGTGTAGTATCTAATATTTGTATTTGAAGTATGTGAGGAAAGTATGTAAAACATACTTCTGTGGACAGTCACAGGACTTGTAGTTAAAAGTGTTACCCAGCAAGTAACATAAGTTTTTTTAAAAGGAGTTTATGCAGCAGTGGGGAAAAATTCTTTTAACCTTAGCACAGGTGTTTGTCCATTAATCCTATCTACGATTAATGCTTTGTTTTGTATCATACAGTGCTTACTACAAACACTAGGGATAAATGTGGGTTTGTTTAACTCTCTACATCTGTGACTAATAAGCCTTGTGCCACAACTAGTGTGGGAAATTATATAACTTTACTCATATTTTTTCTAATAGATTATTTTAATTATCTCTTCTAATTAATAATTTTAATTATTTTGAAGCAATGTAATTTTACGCTCTGTCATACGCCACTGTAGCTGACATTTAGCAATGTTGTCATAAGCTGGTATTGTGGGAACATGGTTTGGGAAAATTACTGAAACTTTAAGTTTCACTGAAACAAGTGTAATCAACACTTTGATATGTTTCAATAATCTCAGACCTAGAAGGATGTTAACAAAGCCTTGCAGAGACATCTATTGTTGAAACTAGACGCAGGTAATGGAAAGTTCATGAACAACGAGGACATTTTGCAGAAACTCAAGATAAAGAAAAAACTAACCAAGTCAGTTCAGCAATTGTACTGGATGTGCTGTTTGGGAAAAAGATAAAAACACTGGAGAACTGGGCTAATTAGCATGAGAAGTGAGAAAACAAATAGGAGATAGAATACTTACTAATGAAGAGAATTATGGAACTTATAGTCAATGAACATTATTTTCTTTATTTGTTGCAGTGCATAAATAGTGAAAAGTTTTGGAAGTGGATATACGTGTTAGGTGAAGCTATTCCCATGTATACAACATATTGAAAAATATCAGCTTTCTAACAAAAAACTGGTTAGAGAGTTTATTTCCTGTTTTTTAGTGACAAAGGGGTTCTTTGTGAGCTGACATGACGAAGATCCTTTCCCTAAACTACACAAGAAATAACTGTATTATCTATATAGTCTGAATACATCGATACTTTGCCTTAAATTACAGTAATCAGCACATCCAACATATGAACTGTTTGAAGTCTGACCAAATCTGAGTTCCAAGAGCCATATATACAAAAAATACCAAAAGGGTGCTGTTGTGCATCTGATTGTGACAGTTCCATCACAAATCAGAGACTCATAAATAGTGCCTGTTATTCTAATACTCAGTTTGCTGAGTGTTATTGTTAATACATTATTTTACATCATCACTCTAAGAATAAAATGTAAAAATAGGAATGAAAATTTCTAAAGAGAGCAGTACAGACGGTAAAGCAGATTTTTTTTCATTTTTTAAGACTCCATTTCTTTTATGCCTTTCACTTTTCAGAATCTTTACTTCAAAGGTATGTGGGTTTAAGGATACCAAACAACTACGGACTTAACTGATTGTAGTTCTTCTGTAACTTTAACTGGTATGGTGAATTATTAGTGATTCTAAAATTCAGTCTGAAAGTGGAAAAAGGCAGATTTAGATAACGTATCTGGAAAAGTAATCATAAAATACCTTTGTGTGCTTGGTCTGAGACCAAGCTATGAACAGAACCTAAATTTTACTGTTTCTGGTTCTCTGTTGTTTTTCTCACAATAGTCCTCTTTACCCACAACACAATTTTGGTATATTATCTTGTAGCCAAAGAGGTTAGTACAAAGAAGAAATACTGCAATGTGATTTTTTTGTGCAAGTAATAAGGTCTACAAAGAATGATATAGAATACACTAATAAAGTGCAGAGTGAGTATAAAAATTTTTACTGCATTCAGAAAGATAATTACAAGAACTGAAAGGTTTTTTGGAAAGTGAAGCTGTGTAAGTTATTAATCAGTTGCTCAACTCAGTAATAGGAGTAACTTTATGTGTTATTTGGTCTGGACGTTTAGAGAAGCTCTTTTGAAGTTGAGAAGCTGAGGAATCAGAAGTTCACAGAATTCCTATCTGTGCTGGAGGCTGGGCAGAGCACAAGAGGCTTTGCCCTCACAGACATAATTTCTGAGGTGGGCCAGCAGAAGAGAACACCAGGCAGTTCAGTATTGTTGGAGAGCCAGGTTTTGGAGTGTCTGCCACTCTGATGCCAGCCTCCACAGTTCAGTGATGCACAAGGGATGTCTGTCCCAATGTTCCATTGCACCTTTGCACATGTCTTGGGCTATTGCAGCTCTGCTTTCTACTTCTCTTCTTCTCACCCATGTCTTCAGCTCACCATAGGTATTTCATGCCAGTCATCAAAGGCTCTGTCTTTTCTTCCCCTCCTCAGATGCCCTTGCACTTCACTTTCTCCAGTCCTACCTCTACTGACATAAACAACTCCACCCCAATGACCCTTTTCCCCATTGCTTCAAACATGAATTGATCTGGTCCCAGACTTGGGATTTGGGACAGCATTATTTAGGCAATGGCAAGCTTAGATGATGTTGCAAATACAGCTGCACTGATGCTTTTCCCCTGCTAGGCTCCCCTTCCCAACATATCTCTAGTTCTCCTGTGCAGGTTATCTGTGCATTTTGGCCATCTCCCGAGAAACACTCCTTTATGGATTGTGAAATCCAGCCATTCCTCATAGTGTCATCTGAAACTTCTCCTGATTTCCTGAACCCCCTGTGCTGAATTTGTGATGATCTGTGATGGACCAAACTTTAACCTTGGTATTTCTCCACAGCCATGTATCCATTAACTCAGATCTCATTGTTTGGTGATGCCCTCCTTTCTGGGGTGTACAAGATGGCAGAGGGCAGCCTCCAACTAGCAGTCTATTTCCAAGAACCACAGGGGTAGACATCGTATTGTAACATTATTGGGTTGTGGAGGTGATAGTAATACTCCTAGGAATAATCATAATTGTTGGAATGCTGGATGCTGAGAATTTTGAAAATTTTGTGCTGAAAGACACAGACTTGCACTGTAGAGAGAGAGCACTGCATTTGACTTGAAGCTGTGGAGAAGACTTCCAAAACTGATTAATAGCACTAGAATTCTGGGTGTGTAGTTGGTTAGAAGTGTGTAATATCACAGGGTGGAAAACTTAGAGTTTGGGGTTTTAAAATACAGAAATAAATATAAAGCAAGATGGAGGTTGTAGGGAGGAGAAAGGTTGTTCTTCTTCGCCTTCTTCATCCTTCTTCTTCATGGGTTTGGGTGATGTTTTGTAATTGGACAGAAAAGTCCGCATTGCAGGATTTGAGGTATCAGTTATTGAGTTAAAAGGGAAGATAGTCTAGGTGTCATTTCTTAATTGGATAGTTCCATTTTAAAAGACCTTGTAACAAGAGATAGTTAGCCATTTTATGCTTTGCTAATGAAAGACTGCAGAATGCACAGTTGTGAGGTTGTTTCACTGATAAGAAATAATAAACACGTGAGTCCGAACATGAAACACCATCTCAAGTGCCTTCAATCCCAACCGCGACAGAGGTAGAAAACACAAGCAGAGGACCCACACATAATCCTGGTAGTAGATTACGACTGTGACCTCACATCCATTGCTCTGTAAAGTCAGGTGCTGTCAGAGCCTGGGCCAGCCTGTGGGAACAAGTACACATGGCCACGGGGAAGGAGTGGAGCTGCCCAATCTGCTGCAATGCACCAGATGACGGTTCTTACACGATGCCCTGCGGCCACCAATTCTGCCTTGGCTGCATCTTGCATTGGGCAGAAAGAAATCCGGCCTGCCCACTCTGCAGAAGATCCATCTTGACAGTCAATTTTTCTGATCATGGTGGAGATGACTACCTACACTGTGTTATCACACCTCCCAGAGAGTTGCCAGACACCAACAGCCAGGCAGCAGAAGCTCCTAGAGGCCTGGCTGAAAACAGACCTCCTGGCCCTGCAGATTCCCTTGCTTCTTCTCCACAAGGAATACCTACAGCCCCTGCTCAGCAGCAGGCTGCAGGACCAGAGGCCATGGGTGGCATCCTGCCTGCACTTTGGGCAGAACTTTTCCGAAGACAATGGAACCTCCTGGACCCCGTGAGGCCATGGCTGCACATGGGGCTGGGGATTATATATGGGGGTGAGTGGTATGAGGTGAAGAATGCAGAGAGCGGCATCGTGCTCGCACTCTGTGTCTATGGTCCAGACAGAGAAGTCTTGGTCCAGAGATTGCAGCTCCGTCTCCAGCAATACACTGCATCACTAGTGCATGGCATCCTCAATATCATTGAGACCTAGTGCAGTGAGGAGGTTTGGAGGCTGCTGCACTCTCACATTGCCAGGGAGGAGGATGAGATCCCTGCTGCCACCTCTGATCCCCCTGCCTCTCAGGAGGGTGCTCCCACCCTCAGCCAGGCCCCATCCAGTGGCATTGCAAATTTCAACACGGAGGAGGAAGCCAGCACATTGGAGACTGCCCTTCATGGACACCCCAGCTGCTCACCATCTGTTTCCATCCCTGCAGAGCAGAAGCAGCCCCAGGAAATGCTGGGAGAGACAAGACTGGCTGCAAGTTCCTCTGCTCCTGGCCAGGGCAGTGAGCCCTCACCTGTGACATCCCAGCACTGCCAAAAGAGGAGGACCCCTGGGTCCGCAGATGCCTCCCATTCCAGCAAGAGGCAGCACCATGATCAGCTCTAGAAAGGCCACAGCAGGCCTTTCAAGAGAAAAAATAAATGGCTATTTCCTTAATGCAGCCTCAGGTTGCATTTTCCTTCCTCTTCTCCTGAAGCAGTTTTCCTTTAACCTTACACGCCAGTGTCAGCCAAAGGCTTCTGGAGCCCTAGGCCCATGTTGGCAGAGCTGCCTCCCCCAGGAAATGCTGCTGCAGCCATAATGATGGAAGATCTTGTGAGAAAACACTGGGGTGGATGCTTAGAGAGGAGTCAAAAGGGAAAGACTGACCAAGCATTCTGCAAGCAAGCAATGGAAAGCCGTGGAAATGCCTTGCACCATTTCTGCTCAGTGTCTTAGGGAGAAATGTACTGTTTGCTGATGTAGCTGGGGAGAATCACATTGCTTGTCTTGCTGAGCATCCCTCATTTAATACAGGCCAGGGCACACAATGGCTGCATGAGATTCAGAGGGAGGAAAATAATTTGCATCTTCATTTTTGCAGCTATGTGTCTTGTTTGCTGATGAATGAGAGTTCTTTTTTGTGTGTTTGTTGATTAGCTGTCTTAGTCTCAGACTAGGGGGTGTGCAATACATAAGATGCTGTATCCAACAAATGAGTAAGGATTATAAAAACTCATTGACCGTATTTTCAAAACTGTACTTTTTTACCAAGTAATAGGAGTAACTCTTTATGTGTTATTGGTCTGGACGTTTAGAGAAGCTTTTATTCTCTTGAAGTTGAGAAGCTGAGAAATGAGAAGTTCACAGAATTCCTATCTGTGCTGGAGGCTGAGCGGAGTACAAGAGGCTTTTTGCCCTCACAGACATAATTTCTGAGGTGGGCCAGCAGAAGAGAACACCAGGCAGTTCAGTATTGTTGGAGAGCCAGGCTTTGGAGTTTCACAGTCTGCCCCTCTTTGACACCACTCTCCACCATCCAGTAATACACAAGTGTCTTGTTTTGAAAAGATGTGTCTGCTAAGAGAAGTAGGAGCCTCCCTTGAGATGGAAAATGTGCCCCTCCTCCCTTTGTATTATTATAATTTTGAAATTAAGCAGCTTTCAAGTAAAGACATGGGAATAGGAATAACAGTTCTTTACTAGGAAAATTAAAATATGAATACAATAGTACAAAAAAACCCCCAAAACCACTGACATAGTCAGAATATGACCTGACACCCTGTTGGTCAGGGTGTTGGTAGCAGTCTGATTAATGCTGGCTGCAGTCCTTCTTGAGTCAGAAATGTGGTTCCATTGAAGTAGTGATGCTGTAGAAAGGTGTAGTTTTCCTCTGAAGGTTCAGTGATGGTGTAGATGGGCCTGGTCTTCCTCTGGGAATTCAGTGGAAAAGAAAGCTACTCCTCTGGTAATCCAGACAGAAAAGGCTGGCTGTGGTGTTCTAAATTTCAGATTATATCCAGGTAGGAATGCTTGGCTCCTCCCTCAAATCTTTCTCTCCCTGAAATGAAAACAATCTAATGTGTGTCAAACTTGGTGTCACAAGGAGACTAAAGGAGTATGTATTTCTGGCTTATTTAAACATCTTTCATGCAAGATATATACTTAAATGTCACTAATTCACCAGTGTTGCTTGTCACAGACCATAGTGAATAGAAGTGCTATACAGACTTTGGACTTTTAAACACCAGTGGTTTGCTGTTCCAACCTAGAACAGTCTTAGCACTCTGGAAAAAGGGTAAAATAACTCACACTTGATCTTGCAAGCCTGCAGCAATGGAAAAAATGTCATCCTGAATCAGAGCTCGTTTAAGAGTGCTGAAACATACTGGGAGGCACAAATCTTATGAAACTATGTCTAAAACCAGAATGCTTGAAGCTGTGGAAGGTGAACAGGGAGATTTGCCTTGCTACCAGATCCCAAAATATACTGTGGGCTCCAGTAGCCCAATTTATGACCCTCTTGGGAAGGATGAAAGAGCCACAGAGCAATTAGCAGGGCTCAGACCTGCTGGAGAGGATATGAGGTCCTATCTGAAAATGATATGGAAGTTTGATTTTTGTAAGTTTACTCTGGAAAAGTAGAGAAGAATTTAGTGATAACAGGTAGGAGTTTAATTCTAGCATACCCTTTCCTATTCCCTCTGCTCTAATGAAGGTTGTTTATTTTTAATGCTGCAAACCCAGTGAGAAGCCTTTTATTTTCCGCCTCTCCTGAGGGGGAGATAGAATCCCCCTCACAGCACTTAGCTGACTGAAAATGCCGAAGTTGTATAAAAGAGTCAAGTGATACAACACATTGAAAACAGGTGTCAAAGAAACACAGTATTTTTCAATAGTATAAGTTCAGGATAAATTGCCTTTTCACGTGAATTCCTCCCATTCAGAGCTGAAATTGAGAAAACAATATGCCACTAGAGAGGTCCCACCTGTGTCAAGGTTCAGTAACAACTAGAAGTCATGACTGACCATGCCTCCACAGATGTCTCTAGGGTTTGCAGGATAGCAATGAGATCAGAAAATTATAAAAAGGGCCTACCAGAAACTGCTGTAGCCTGCAAATGCCTCAGGCATTTGTCTGGGACAAAGCCGTAGTAGCCCATGAACTCTCCTCTCTCAATCGATTCCCAAATCCTCTGCCCTGGCTAACTACCATAGAGTAGTCCTCCTGGGGGGAAAAAGACAGACTGCTCCATGGCCTTCTGGCTCACTGACCCCTGGTTTCTCCTTTCCCTGTTCCTTCATTGGTTGGATACCTCTGGTGGCTGTGCCCTCTCCCCTGGAGTCCAATCCCCCCTGCCCTGTCCTTAGCCCTGCTGCCCACCCCTTCCCCTTGTTAAGCTGTCTGCATGCCGTTGCCTCACTTTCTCGCTGGGTTCCCCTACAGGCATGTGATATACCTCACTGGAATAAAACCTTGCAAAAGAGCCTTTCTTGCCTCTCTCCCTGAGCCAGCTGTGATGAGTTGGGCAGGGGTCTGACTGTGTGATCTAAAGGTTAACTCAACCTGCTTTTCTACAGGAGAGGCTTGTTGGGAACAGATCATAGGCAGCAGCACCCACCATCCAACTCCCACATTTTTAATGGTTCCCTTATGAGATCAGGTATTTATTGCCTCAGATGGCTTTATATTTTTCCCAAAGCTGTTTGTATGTGTTTGGGAAGCAGGATTGCCTGTATGTGATCCTGTTTACTCCATTGAGACAGCTTTGATTTTGCTTCCCAAAATGAAAAAGTGGAAGACTGTAGCAGCAACTAAGTATGGATAACATTTAATATATTGCTGTTGGTCTTTGCTATACCCATGCCAAAACTGTGGGAAAATGTCAGTGTGTTCTCTTCCCTTCATTTTCCCTTCCTGTTTTTCTGACCTATACAGCATTTTTTCATATTTTACACCACTTTTATGCTCCCTGAATATATTCTTTCCACTCTAGTCTGAGAATCTTATCTTGATCTCTGACTGTACTGTTACAGTGGTTTACATATTTTGTCCTCATGGCATTTGAGAAACAGCTTTCTATTATCTTAATCAAAGTTTCTAAGTAATTTGTATATACTGAAAGTATGAAGAATTGAATTTCTACTGCATGCAGTTGTTGCTAAAATTTATTTATAATGTGAATCAATTTATTATACCATTGATTAAAATCACTGTAAATAAATGAGGCATGGCTTCTGGAGTTTGATGGAGCTATAGGCCTATTTTGGCCAGTTAAAAAAAAACCCTTTTAAAATAGGTCAGCTGGCTCCAGAGACTAAGCTAAGAGTGGTTAAGTGACTCTTCAGGGTTTAACTTTGTTTTCTGGTTTATTTCTCTTTTGAAGTATAAGAGGAAAGGGAGAAGGAAAGAGACGAGAAGGGAAGGCGATGGAAATTGTTGGCAGTGTTTGTGGGGCTTGTCTTATTGTGCTTGATTTTAAATTAAGCCTTGTTACTGAGACTGGTTGTGAGGTCTCTAGGGCTCTTCTCATGTTCTTAGCAGCTTTCCTGGGATTTTAGACTGTGTTATACAAAACATATTTTCCCTACAGTTCAGTGTAATCTATCTGGAAGTGTTGGAGAGAGTCGCGGGAGACAAGCCTCAAGCTATCATGATCAGCAAGTCTCAGTTTATTGGAGTCGATCACAGTTTCTTTATACAAGCATTAATTAGCTCATACATATTGCAAAAGTGAAGCTCAGGATTGGTTACCTTTCTATTAACACATGTATCCTTTTGTGATAAGCCTTGTGGTTACTGCTTCCTTATACTTGTTTATCTTTCTGCATACCAAGCAATTTCACATCCTGGTTGTTATGAGACATCTGTTGCTCAAGGACATAGTTTTCATGCCACAAGTCATGTACTCTCACACTCTTATCAACTTAACACTGTCGTGTCCCTTGCTGCGCAGCCATTCTTCAGATAAACTCTCTACACTTCCCCTGTTTTCTTTATAAGCAAGCAAGGATGTGTTCCATTTTCGTTCTATAATTGACATTAAAGTCCTTTGCAAGCACTGAAATAAACACGGCAATACAAGCATTAAAATTACTATAACTAACAATCCTATTATCATAAGCTGCAAAAGGTGTTTAAGCCAACCCGTGATTCCCCATGATTCAAATGATAATCCAAAAAATGTATCATCCCTCTGCAACACCTGAACATGTTGTTGCAAATGCTAAATTTTCCTATAAATAGATTTGGAACTATTTTTCAAATTCATACAGCACATTCCTTCGAAATCTTCACACCCATGCCCATGAGCCAACAATAAAAAGTCAATAGCTGCCCGATTTTGCAATGTTGCATGTCTTACGGTGTCTATGTCTGTGGCCAGTAAACTTAATAGCTCAGACGTGGCATTGGCTTGCTTGCCTACCCAACATTGTAACTTCTCTAACTGAAAAAGAGCACGTCCTGCAGCAAGGCCAGGCATAAAAAGGGAGGCAACCACTTGCTCCATGCAATTAAACAAGTTGACGTTATCGTCACAGGAAGCATCAATGGTTGAGAGCTTTCATCATGTGGTGGTTACCTGGCTGGTATTACTATATAGGCCTAATAGAGCGCTCTGGCTAGGGAGTGCTATTGTGAGACGCCCAAATGTACAAGGGCCTCCGGTGGGCCATTGAGGAATGCCGCTGAATGCTCTGTCCCCACAGATTAAAAAGATTCTGTGTGGCAATCAGCGAGGAATTGTTGTACCTGGGGCTGGGTCTGTTTCATTTCGAGCTATAGAATGACACCAAAAGGAGTGATTTTGCCAATTTTCCTGTTGCAGGGTAATATCCATAGGGAATGTTATATTACACCAAGCACCGTTGCCTTCATTGCACTCATATTTGCTGGAGTTAATATACATGCATGAGGCGGCATGGAGCGAGCCCAATATCTCTAGCTCGTCGGGCTTGCCTCTATAAGGTAATCTATCATCCCACGAGTCATATTCTTCAAGGCAGGAGCTAATACTGTTTTTACAGTGGCTGGACGTTCGGGTCATGACTAAATAAGAGTACTCTGTCTCATTAAGTGGTACGCCAATAAGGCAGGTATGGAAGGGGGATTCAGGTTGGGCTAAGGACACACAAAAGTCTGTTCTATTTAGCCATCTTGCTAATGAGATCCATACGTTCTGCCTAGGAAATAAGGAGTTAATGTTGGGATGTTTTTCCGTAGTAGTTCTTGCGACTGTTATTAATTTTAGTAAACTTACGACAAGTATAATCCCATTGACTGGGTGGCACCTGCCACCGAATTGGTATATGAACTTCATGACCACAACAAGAGTCTAAAATGCGTGAGCGTTTGTCTCCTAATATCTTTTTGACTATGTGGCATACCTGCCACGCTAGATCTCTAAGCTCTAGATCCTCCCTGTTTTCTATTCTGGCTATACTGTTCCCTATAGTATCCCCTGTTAACGCGGTTAATGCTTGCTGCGGTGTTTCCCTATGCCAGTCAAAATTACAATTAAGGCACCAAAGTCCGTTGCTAAGAACCCGTTGAAAAACCCACCAGTTCCTATTACAGTTCCCACAATAAATTTTTACCCACGCTTGGTGATTATGTGCGAAGCAAGCTAAGCAAGCAGTTTGGCAATGGCGTAAAAAGTCTCTCTGTAAAACTGGGAGAAGCGTTTCAGCTACTTCTCGTTCAGTTTCGTATAAAAACTTGGTATTAAATTCCTCCTCAACTTCTCGCAGGATCGGTGCCAGCACTTTCTGCAGGTGATATTTCCTCCTCTGCTCTGGACTGTTCATCAACAACTGCTGGTCACGTCCACCTTGCAGGGACCCACAAAGTGCCTGTTGGCGTAGAAACACATAAGTAGCCTCTGCCCCAATATACAACCTTAGCTGGGCCTTACCAGATTCCTGTCTTCGGGTCCCGATACCTGACCACCGCTTCAGGCCCAGGCTGTTTCAACGGGGAAAAATGAGAAATCACAGGCGGCACCTCACTGTTTCCAAAAATACATAAATGATTAAGCACAAACAAACATTTAAGTAGTCTATCCTGTATGCTACTAATGTCAGAATATTTTTCCAAATACTGTTTAAGGGTTCCATTTGCTCTTTCCACTATTGCTTATCCAGTAGGTGAGCTGGCAATCCCTGTAACATGAGCAATGTTCCAAAACTGCATAAAATGAGCTATACGCTTGCTACAGTAGACTGGACCATTATCTGTTTTGATTTTCTGCGGGGTTCCCATGACAGCAATACAACTGTGCAGGTGCCGTTCTACATGTATAGCCTGTTTGCCAGCCTGTGCAGTAACCCATATATAATGACTATAAGTATCTATAGTCACATGGACATACTTAAGGCGGCCAAAGCTGGGTACAAGAGTAACATCCATCTGCCATATCTCAATAGCATGCAGGCCCCTTGGGTTGACTCCCCCACCCAGACCCATGCCTCTATTTTGATTACTACAAATTGGACAAGCTTTGGCTATAGCTCTAGCTTCTTCTAAGGGAATCTGAAATTCTTTCGACATGCCTTTAGCATTCCAATGGAAAATAGCATGGCTTTCCCGTGCTAATGACTGCCTAGGAAGTACTGTTTGATGAGAAAGCGAGACTAGCTTATCAGCCTTGGCGTTTCCTTCTCCTAACCCTTCGTCCCATTTATGACTATGAACATGGATGACCGAATATGGTTCAGTTCTATTTCTGAGGGCACGTTTTAGTTGAAGAAACAGTTCATAAAGTCGCCGATTCTGTACTTCTCTGATAGTAGCATCCTCAATCCTTGATACTAACCCCACAACATAAAGGGAGTCTGATACAACATTCAACGGTTCATGCAAGTTAGTTACAGCCCAAATGACTGCCAACAACTCCAAAGTCTGCAAATTGTCTGATGTTGCCTCTCATATTTGTTGATGCCATTGTTGTCCCTTTTTCCAGACTACTGCCACCTTCCTGGAGCGTTTTCCAGCATTTGTGAAAGCCGTAGTGGCATCTGGAATGGGCCTGTCTTCCCTGAGGGGTTTCTGTAGCCAGCTCCATTCTCCTAGCCATCGCAAAGGTTTCGGTATAAGGGGACCGGTATTGATTTGTGCTGCAGACTACAATAATGCTTCAGCCAGGGCTGTGGAGTTTAAAAGGTACCAATCTAACGTGGCCTTTTCTATGGGCAGATTAATGTCCGTTGGTTCCAGGCCACCGATTTCCAAAACGCGGATGCATCCTTTTTTGATCAGCAATGCCAAATTTTTGATTTTTGAAGTTATAGTTTTTCTTTGTTGCAATGGAGGTGACAGCCATTCCAGTACTGCTGTCTCCCCTGTTTTCTTTAACTGCTGAATAACAGCTCCTAGTAGGTGGTCTTCAGTATTCCAAATTGTAAGATGCAGGGGGAGATCAGGGTCAATCCTTGTGACAAATGCTGTAGATATGCAATGCATAATTTTCTGAAGTGCATCTTGCTGAGCTTGGGTGAGGTGAACAGGGGCACAAGGGTCAGTGCCTTTCAGTAGCGGACACAATTCGTCTAATAAGATAGTAGGGATACCGGTGACTAGCTTCAGCCACTGTAGGTCACCTAGAAGCTTTTGGGCCTCATGCAATATTGTTATTGATATTTGTATGGACAATTTTTGAGGCACAACCTTCTGTTCTGTGATTGTCCACCCTAGATACTTCCAAGGGGTTGACATCTGAATTTTATCTGGAGCTACTACCAAAGATCCTTGTAGCATCTTCGATTTGTGAGGCTGTAAAGGGTTCTCTTTGAGCAAGCAGGATATCATCCATATAATGATAAACAATGGTAGCAGGCATTTTTCGTCATAGTGGTTGTAGTGCAGCATTGACATACAGTTGACAAAGTGTAGGGGAATTGCGTGTCCCCTGCGGTAGAACAGTCCACTCAAATCTTTTGTCAGGTTCTCCATGGTTAAGGGCAGGAAGCGTAAATGCAAACCGTTTGGTATCATTAGGATGCAATGCAATGGTAAAAAAGCACTCTTTCAGGTCTATTATAAGGATGGGCCAGTCTTTTGGTATCATAGCTGGGTTAGGCAGTCCAGGCTGAAGCGCTCCCATGGGTTCCATTTGATTATTTACTGCTCTCAAGTCGTTCAGCAGCCTATACTTTCCGGATTTCTTCTTGATCACAAATATTGGAGTATTCCAGGGACTGGTGGAGGGCTTAACATGTCCTTGGTGATATTGTTCCATGACCAAAAGGTGTGCCTGTTCCAAACTTTCCCGTTTTAGAGGCCATTGCTTAACCACTACAGGTTCATTGGTGATCCAAGTAAGTGGCAATGGGAAAGTCCAAGCAATGACCATTACTGTAAAGGGTGATCATTAGTGAGGACAAGACCCAGTTGAGCAAGAATATCGTGGCCAATTAGGCAGTGAACAGTAGGTGGCAGTGCTGTTATAGAAAATGCTGTCGATGCTTGTTTTCCTTTAATCTCGACTGTCAGTACAGGGGTACGATTAGCCAGCGTCATTCCTCCGATGCCAGTGACAGTGGTTGCTGAGGGCTGTATCGGCCAGGTGGAAGGCCAGTGTGCAGGATCAACTATACTCGAGCACCCGTATCAAGGAGTCCCTTAAGTGTGATACTGCGTCCTTGATAAGTCAGATGACAGGACTTCTTAGGTCAAGTATTGAGGTCTATGGTGAGCACAGTTAGGCCCCCCGTAGATCCGAAGCTTCCTTCGTTCCTGGGCTCTTGTGTAAGGGACATTAGTCCCTTGGTCATTTGAGGCAACGGAATTAATTGGGCTAGTCTCTGTCCTTTGGGTACTTTCACGGGGGGATACGGAGTATGAACCATAATCATAAGTTCACTTCTACAATCAGAGTCAATAACCCCCGGCTCAACATACAGACCCAGAGTAGTAGCAGAGGAGCGACCAATTATCAAGCCCCCTATTGGCTGGCCATTTATAAAAATAGGGCCAAAAAGTCCAGTGGGAACCTTATGCAAATGAGTGGAAAGGATGTCAACATCTATTGAGGCTGCCAGGTCCAAGCCGAGGCTCCCGGTTGTTGCTGGTTGGAGTTGTCAGGGGGTGCTGACAGTGCAGCTGCCATTTGTGTCCCTGAGCAGCTGCTGCTCGCGCTGTTCTTCGAGTTTCCCTGCTTCCTTCGACAAGCAGTGGAGTTGTGCGTGTTGGATTGGCATTTTCCGCACCATACTCCCGTTGCTCCACATTCTCAACGGATGTGACCTACATTTCCACATCGGTAACACTTCATTCGATTGCTGCCAGCGTTGGTCGAGCGGGGGCGTGCGGCTGCCGCTTGGAGGGGAGCAAGAGCTGCCATGACCTGATTCTGAGAGCTAATAGCTTGCTCACGCAGGGCTGTCGCTTGTTCCTGTAATCCCTCTCCTATTCTCTGCAGGGCATTTACTAAAAACACCTGGGGGCCAATTGGCATAGAGGCAGCCTTTTCTAATAGGTCCTGCACCCTCCAATCCCCTGGGGTCGAATTAATCAAGGCTCTAGTGGTGGAATTGCTGTTTTGTAGGATGCATTGTCTTAGCAGGGCATCTTGCATATGATCTGCTACTCCCGCTTTAGACAATGCTTCCATGATCTTATCTACAAAGGCACCAAGGAGCTCTTCTCTAGCCTGTTTGATTCCCATATATATAGGTATCCCTACCATGGTTTTAACTTTATCCATCGCTCTCTTGGCCACTGTCATAGCTTCCCTGAGTTTGTCGGGTCCTAAAGCTGCTTGGGTCTCAACTCTCAGAAATGCACCTTGCCCTATTAGTTCATCAACCGTGATCCCTGTCAAGGCATCCCCCTGGGCCCTTGCGAGATTTGCACTCAATGCAGCCTCCTCTCTCCAGCGCGCCTCAAACAATAGTCGTTGATGCGGGGTATAAATCAATTTGGCAATGCCTCTGATATCTGCAGGCAACAGCACTTGGGCATTAAACATGTAATCGAGCATCTGTTTAACCGGTTCACTAGAAACTCCATAATTCCCCACTGTGGCATGCAACTGGGCCAGCATTTTCCAATCTAAATTTTGCACATGTGCCTGTTGGCCACTCCCTTTCGGGTTAGGCGTATAAATGACCGGAAACGCTAAGGTCTCCTGAGCCGCTGCAACGAGATCAGCGTCCCCCTTTTCCATTCCCTCACGGGCGAGCATGTTCCAGATTTCACGTCTCTCCCTGGCCATGGCCTCCGCAAGGTCAGCTTCTGCCCCAGGGACAGGCTCCTGGCTACTGAGAGAAGCAGTTGCCCGAGGTGGGTGAGGGGGGTTGTGGTGACCATTCCCGGGGATTACGATACTCGGCGGCTCAACGGGGGGGGGGCGGATGGCACGGATGAAGGCACATCAACCATTGTAAAAAAGGGGGGATTTGGAGCACTAGGATCTACCGGTAAACCATAATCGCGATTACGCTCTTGCGCCGTCTTCACTCCCTCAGCTGCCCTTTTTTCCGCTTGGCACATTAACAACTCATTGTGAACTGCTTTCCATAACTTACTCATCTTCTTAGCGAGTTTATCATTGTCTAACGTCAACTCCCACAACTTATCCCCATATTTTCGCCATTCCCCTAATTCATGTACGGTATGCAGGTCTGAGAAAAATGCATACGAAGCTGCATGCTGCAATAACGCAGGGAGGTCCTTATCTAAATCAAGCCCTTTAAATTGCCTCCGTCTGAGAAACGAGGTGAAAAGGTCATATGCTGCTTGCCTATCCATACTCACGTCAGCGCTGTTGCAGCCCCTCCAGGCTTCGGCAGCACGTATCGGCTGAGCCCACCGCTGTGGTCACTCAGGGCACGGCACCAGGTAGCGGAGCTTAATCGCCATCCGTCTAGCTGCAGGACCCGAACCCAATGCAACGTCTCACAGATCCAGGCTCAGAGTCCCATCTGTTCGGGCTCCAGATGTTGGAGAGAGTCGCGGGAGACAAGCCTCAAGGTATCATGATCAGCAAGTCTCAGTTTATTGGAGTCGATCACAGTTTCTTTATACAAGCATTAATTAGCTCATACATATTGCAAAAGCGGAGCTCAGGATTGGTTACCTTTCTATTAACACATGTATCCTTTTGCGATAAGCCTTGCGGTTACTGCTTCCTTATACTTGTTTATCTTTCTGCATACCAAGCAATTTCACATCCTGGTTGTTACGAGACATCTGCTTCATGCCACAAGTCACGTACTCTCACAGTCTTATCAACTTAACACTGTTGTGTCCCTTGCTGCACAGCCATTCTTCAGATAAACTCTCTACATGGAAGTGTCTTGCTGGTGTTTTCTAGTAACAAAGTGCAGATGTATGCATTTGGAGATCATTGTTGCCTTGGTTCATTCCTCCATTTAGTTTGCATGGAAGATGCAGTGTTAAACCACAAGAGTGAATCCATTCATGCTTGCTGAAAACACATCATAAACTTATAAACTATTTGTAAGGAAAACATTGTCTATGCTAGAATTCCCTGAAATTGTTCTAAAACTTAGTAGTAATCTGGAATGTCTTGGCTTTTCAAAAAAAAAACCCCAAAAAAACAAAAAACCAAAAAAACCCCCATCACCACCAAAAAACCCAAAAAACCAAACAAAAATCCAAACAAACAAAAAAAACCACTATCAACCAACCAAAAAACCACCAAAACCTCCCTCAACAAAACCCAAAATCCAAACAAAACAAAAAATGAAATGCTGCTTTTTAATTCTTGTTTACAATTGTCACAAATTTCTAAAGGATATACTTGGATTACTAATTTACTAATATGCTAAAATTTAATACAATTGTTCAAAAAAAGATTTGAAGTGTCTGAAGTGTCTCAGGTTTCCTACAAAGAAGGTGTCAAATATCTGCAAGGTGGTAAAAGGATAGCAGAACCAAAACCAAATAAAATACTTTGTTTCAAAATATATTTCAGTTTTGTTTTAAGAACCAAGTAATTAATCTGCTATGAAAGGGTTTTACTTAGTTTTAATGCAATTTTGAAGAAATTAGAGTTCAGAATTTATGCTGGAATAGTCTGTGCTTGATTCAAAGTTAAAGGTAAATAATAATTTTTTTTAAATGCTTGTCACAGAGATATCTCACCTAGAATATATTTGCAAGCACAAGACTGACACTATTTATTGATTGTTTGTGCTGTATTAACATTTTAATAGTATGGTAAATACAGTTTTGTAGTTAAAATGAAGCTTTAGTAGTTAAAATAGAAACTATGTATGTGTTTTTGGTTTTTTTTTTTTTAAGGAATGGGATATTTGCTTCGAGATTGTCGGAATCTGTGGGTATTGGTGATTCCGAGATTGTAGAAAGTCTCTGTCTTTCTGCCCCGTTGCCAAAGAAGAAGCCATAGTTCGTCTGTGCTGTTTTCAAGGCTGTTTATTCTTGCTTATCTATAACATGTTCTGCTGCCCTGCCGCAGGTCTGTCCTGCAGGGCAGTGTGCGGGGCTCTGCCCCTCGGTGGGATGGTACAAACATTATATACCAGAAATTACGTGTACTATATTTACAATAATGTGCCAATATCTATCATCTACGTTGAACAATGTGTCCCCAGCCTAAACCAATAGAAAAATGCCAACATCACCAAGAACATGGAGGTAAGGAAGAAGTAGGAGGAAGAACAGGATCAGGCCCACTTTCCTCCATCTTAGAACTCCTGACCCCCCTGTACAAAGTAAAACCCCCCCTGTACAGGTGTTAAAACCCCCCTGTACAATACTAAAAAATTTTACCCTCTAATTTGTGACTACTTTTACTATACCATCTAACCCTCTGTGACTGCTTGTTCCACCTTCAAAGTTGATAATTCATTCCATGGTTCAAACTCAAAATCACAGCTGTTTTCAGCTGCTTGCCAGGGTCTAAAATGCTTCTGACCAAGGCCTGGAACCTCTAAAAATGTCTGAGGGACATTTTGAGTTCCGACATCTCCCCTCTGTTTGAACCAGAAACACCCGCTTTACCATGCTGTTCAAGGTCCTTCGAATACACACGAAAATGCATGGTAGAACAAGCAGAACTACAAGCCCTATAAGAATATAAAATGCTATTTTCAAAAGTTCTTTCCACAATGGTAAGATATCAAAAAAGCTAAACAAATCATCCCACCAGGACCCTGTAACTTTGTTCAATTTGCTAATACTACTTTGTATTTGTTTTATATTTTCATGAATAGATTTTGAATGATCAGACAAGTTCATGCAGCACATCCCCTCAAATTCCTCACATCCGTGCCCATGTGTCAGCAGCAAATAATCAATTGCCGCCCTGTTTTGAAGCACTGCTTGCCTTGCACTGCTGATGTCTGTTAACATGTCACTCAGTGCAGACGAAATGGCACGACTGTGCTTGCTCAACCAACATGCTATATGATCCAATTGTGTCAAGGCCACCCCTGATGCTGCTTGGGGTGAGAAAATTGCTACTGCAATTCTCTGAGCCTTGTTCCAGGTAGAAACATCATCTTCACAATTTGGACTATATTGTTCAAGGGATCTTTTTTCCCTGTGTGTCTGCTTTTGTAAAGTTTTCAAATCAGGTGTTAACAATGAGAGTTCCCCAATGCTGCATGGACCGCCCTTGATTTTCGCAGAGATAGCAGGCCAAATTCTGTCCCCGCAAATGAAAAACATTCCCTTCGGTAAAGTGGCTGGATGTTGAAGGGATGGTTTGCTTGTCATTTTGGTATGATTGCACCAAGATGACGCATTTTTATAAAAAGGCTGATTCGGAGTGACATCTATTGTATGATTATCTGTCTTTGCGACTCCTGATGAATTAAATTTGATGCACCATTTCATTTTTGTTGACCCAAAAATGTCCAAATCCAGAGATTCAAAGTGAGCCACAGGAAGGAATTGTGTCCAAACATGTCATCCCTCCACAGGGTCTGAAAGAAACTTCAGAACCCTTGGAAGGATGTCCCCCGGGACTGACCATCCCTCCACTGGCACACCTACCAAGCATGTTGAAAATGGTTTCTCTGGTTTCGAATGGGTCAGGCAAATGCTGTCCAGACCAGCTGCTTTTGCCAAAGTCTCCCATACTTTTTTCCTTGGTTGTCTCATGGGAAAGTCTGTCCTGTTGCCCAAGGCAACAGGTGAAAGAATGAAGCACACGAACACTACCTGTCTGAATCCCATGTCCATGTCCCCACCCTCTGTGAGAAACCCTGCAATGCAGCAACACCCAAACAACACTTGATTTCCCAGAAAAAACCCCAAGTCTCTGGGTGATCAATCATTGTCCGACGAGACGTCTGCAGCATCGTTGTCTGCCTTCGTCTGCGTGCTTGCTTCTCTGCTTCTCGGGTCCACGTCCACTGGCATCTGCACCCGATAAGGTTTCATGTGCCTTGCTGGCATTCACTTCAGTCCTCGTCCTATAGAAACACAAGCGAAACCCTCGCCCCAAGTTATTAATGTAAATGAACCTTCAATCTGTCCTGACTCCGGGTTTCTGATCAAAACGAAAGGATTTTCCCTTAGTTTTTCCTGTGGGCTGTTTGTAACATATCTGACAATTAGTAGAGTGGGCTCTGAGAAAAAACCATTTAAAGAATTCAACACATTTGTTCAACCCTGCAAAAATTCAACACATTTGTTCAACCCTGCCTGCCCCCTTTTCTGTTTATTCAAGTGGATTTCAGGGTGTGATGTGTTCTTTGCTTGCTTGACCTGAGGGAGAATGAAGAATATTGAAAATATGTTTGACTCTCTGTTTTTTCAGAAATTTGTCAAGCACCTTGCCTGTGTAAATTGGACCATTATCTGTTTCTATTTCTTGTTGCACTCCTAATGATGTAAATGCTTATAAAAAATGTCTGCAGGTATGTTCTGTGGTCTCCCCTGTATATAATGATGCAAAAATCGCCTCTGAAAATGTGTCAACTGAGATATAAATGTTTTCGAGTCTCCCAAAAGATGGGTATTTTGTGACATCAACTTGCCACAGCTGAAGGCTTTTACAAACCTCTCAGATTAATCACTCCTGTAGATACAGGAGACTGCACAAACTGGCTCTCTGGCAAGCAGATTTCCTTTGTCTGGCTTTCAGAAGGGTGAAAGGTTCCCATCAATGCCTGTGCATTTTTGTGAAAACATGCATGGCTCAATTTTGCCTGCTCAAAAATGTCTGGCAGTGTCTGCAAGATGGGCATTGTGAGTCTATCTATATGAGCATTCCCTTTTACTAAAAACCCCGGAAGTGAAGAATGCACTCTGATGTGTTTATTAATGTTCTCTGTTTTTCTAGGATTATTTTCATGCATAATAGATATGAATATAAAATTTCCTTGTCCGTATGTTTTAAAAGTGATTCCTCTAATTGTTTGATCACATTTGCAACATACACTGAACCTGTCATCAGATTGAGGGTTCCTGAAATAACAAAAAAACCCCTGACTATTGTTTCCAATTTTGCAACTTGTGGTGAACCTTGTACCATTTTGATACCTGATTCCCATTTCCCTGTTTTTTTTGATTTTTCCATGTGACCACTGATTTGTGAGTTTTTCCCAAACCATCAGTGAATACTGTCATTCCTTCCACTGGTTCTTGGCTTATTTTTGGTTTTTCCCTGAAATTCACTTTTACATTTAACATTTTGTGTGCTGGAAAACAAACTGTGCGAACTTATGAATGCCCTAATAACGTGATTGAAAAATCTTGTGACTTTGGATTGTCCACTCAAAATATTTCTTCTTTGAATGTAAATGAATGATTAAGAAATCTTTGCCTGACATTGTCAACAATCTGGTCTTTGCTACAATAATGATCTGAGCTCCCATCTCTAAATCTGTAAGAATTGTTTTTGAGGGTCTGCAAATTAAAAAAAACCCACTTTCAACTTCTGTGGAAACATTAACAAAATCCTTGCTCAAAGCTACTTATTTGAATGATTTTTTTTTTTTCCTGTTTTATCTGTCCAGTGTCTAGCACTCTCTTCATATTTTTCTCAATGATCAGCAAAATCAAGTCTGCAAAATAATTATTTCAAGAGATTAAAACATACAAAATCTTCAACCTCATTTCAGCCTTATTTCAGGCACTTCTTCACTCCTTTTCTTTTTTCTTTTTCCTCTTTTCTCTCTTTCTCTTCTTCTCTTTTGAAACAAGAAAGTTGAAATATAAAACATAATATAGAACAAGACAAAATACCTCAATGATAAAATGCATAAAACTTATCAAAATCGATAACAATTCAAGAAAATTCAAAAGAAAGAGATTCTAAATAGCATATATGAAAATGAACAAAGCATGATCATTAGAAACATTGTGGCAGCAGTTCAGAGTCTGCAAACAGCTGAAACATTTGTTTTCAGTGAAAACCCTTGGCATCCTTTCCCGGGCAAGGCTGGCAAGTTTCACCTCAAAGCTGTGTCAGCTGTAACATTTGTAGGATCAAATTGATGGGTCAAAATGACCTGCATATCATTCATTTTTGTGCAGAAACCTCTGAATTTTGCTGGCAAACTCATCTGTCCAAGTTAAAATCAGGGTCTGGCCAGGACCCAAACTTTAAACTGGAGAGATGTCCCTTAACATATTATATAAAACAAAA